ATTAGATGAATGAATGTAAACCAATGAACACGAGTTTTGCTGGCTGATATTTAAGTACAATAGTGGCCAACTCACAATTTTGTTCAAAACCTCGAGCATACGCGTCGGTACAAAGTAGGACTGCAATCAGGTCGATGTGGCGGTGCCATGGAGACGTCAGCATGTCTACTGGCCTTCTGAACTATGTGAGCGATTGGGTTGAGCATTGATCGTGTTGGCAGCTTTGCGATATGATCATACGCGCCACCTATTGGTTGATCGATAGTGCGATGGGCTCCGCCATGACAACTCGTCGCCAAGCCGGCCTGAGAACTAGACGCCCTCGCTGGGCAGACCTTTATTTGCCCGATGGTTCAGATTGCAGACCGAAGCCATCTTTAGAGGCAGTATCACCCGTATGTGATGCTGTGCAGTCTGACCTGTGTAGTTTTGAGGACAGTTCAGGCAGGGGATGTGATTCACTGCACCCGATTGCCCACTGGGATTTAATCAACCCTTGATTTTCATGACCTGCTGGGCGTGGTAGCTCTATGTCGGTGTGCCAGCTTATCCCACAAAATATTAACTGGACTATCCGACGTGTGATTTCAGTCAAACATTATTACTTAAGCGGACTTTAAATGCTGATTGTCATAGATTGACATCTCAAAATATTTAAATCCCACGAAGATGCTAGCTTTTCAATGCGCATCAAACTCTCTTAGTCATGAGTTCTTACGCCATTAATGTTCGCTGGTCTTATACAGTACGGCCAAGAATTCATGTACCATGCCGGCATATGCGAAAGATTGATACTCTTTCGCTAATCGGCATTGAATAAGGTCGTAATACTGATTATCGCGTAGTTTATTCTGTATTTCGGGGATGAGGCTTGCAATGATCCCACTCCGCGCGCAACGCTGTCGGCTACTGGTACGTGCGCATGCATCAGTGTCTGTCAGCCTCAATCCGGTCTTGCCAGTCATCTTCCAGTGGCTGACTCCCGCATTACCGCACTTTAGACGCTGTGATGACAGCCGCGCTCTCACACTGCGGACACCGACCCTCTCGTGGCTGGCTGTGCGCTCGTCCGACTGTCAATTTTCCCCCACTTATTTTTCACGAGCTCGGTACAGAATGTTCTATTCCTTATACCTAACGCCCCACTTCTTCTTTTCCCTCACGGGACCGGGCCTGAAGATTGCAACAGACAATTCGATAGGCTTTCCTATTTCTATGATCTTTCCTCTTCGACCCAGACAAAAGGCTGCCAGAGTGACCTTACTCCCTCTGGAAACCTGGAATCTTTATATTATGTTTCTACAGGCGGCCGGGAGAGAAGACAGTGTGAGAGATGCTGTGCACACCTACTATCATTAACAAACTCCAGAGGCTCTTCATGGTCAATGCCTTTTACCCTTTAAATATATTGACTTAAAAATGTACCGAGCGTGCAAATCACCGTCATTGCGTCGTCCACCTTGCAGTGGAGTGCACGGTGCCAATAAGGCTTCGCAACTACTACTGAACGCATTTATCGAACCACACTGAATCCACACTAGCCCATAACTACCGCGAATGGAGGTGGAAACTTGACTTTCAGATGCATGCATGAGCGGGCAAGAAGCAGAACAAGACTGGCCGGTCATCAGAACCAGTTATTTATTATTCTGCATCTTCGAGCTCGTGCAGGAGACAAAACGGCAGTTTGATTGGAAAAAATCCCTGTAATAGCCGCTGTAGTGTCTGCCAATAAATGTCTGCAAGAGTTTGAAAGTTCAAAAGAACAAACACAACTGGTTCTGGTGATCGACCAGTCGTCTTCCTTCTAGCTCACAGGTACTACATCGAATGTAAGATGTGACGGGAGGCCTTAGCTCTGGGGAATTACACTGCATCAGCCAGTCTGTCCAATCCCATCACCGGCTAGTTGACAGGCTTCAACGGTCGACTGGGAGAGGGAAGAGCGAGAGAGGGGTCGACATTGGGAACTGCATCCTCGCTACATATCAGTGCATGCTTGAATCTGGCATCCTTTGGAAGAGACCTTTCCAGGTTCGATCCGAAACTTGTTGTAAATCCTTGATAAGAATCCCTTTGCTACTTCGATATAACTGCGTAATATTTGCAAGCTGCCACCAGGCAGTCATCAGTACAAAACTTCATAATTATTTACCCTACTGACACCATAGGTACTGACTGAAAGCCTACGAACGCATGTTTCACCGATCCTGTGTTGCTGCCTGACACAGCTGCGAGGAGATCAGCTCATCAATGGTTGCAGCTGCCTTCCACACTTTTAGGAGGTCGTTGAAATAAATACTAACAATCTTCTCTTTTCTTCCGCTATTATTGCTTCCAGCCCTCCCCCAGCTCCACTGGATCGCAAATATAACCGAAGAGCACCCCCTTAATGAGAGCCGCAAGCAGGTATGTCGGGCAACATCTCCCCTCGAGTTTTAAGTCTAGAGCTGGTGCTGACCGTCGTTCAGAAAGCAACAGTAAATGATCGAATAGTTGAACCGATAGATGCAGGGGTTGCTCTAGTGGTCTTTTCTGCCTTAATTATTGTCCTTAGCCGGGTGGACATCTAACTTAATTTTGAAAGTTTCTGTATTTAACAAAACACTCATGGCTATTAACTAATGTCCGAACTCCCAAGCGATGGACCCGCGTCATCTCAGCTATGGATTGGCGTCACCCCACCGACACATTTCACAGATATAATAGATCTTGCTAAATAAACCTGGAGACATACGACTTGAGTTCGCGATATCTCAAGTACGTTTCAACGCATCTGAATTTGTAAAGTCAATGACTCCATGTGATTCAAGGCCCTTGAATAAAACTGCTAACGCACTGTCGGCCGTCAGGACTGGATGGTCTCCGACTTTTGCCAACAAATATGTCTAAAGTGTCCACTTATATTGGACATGTCTGTGTTAACGGTAGCGTTGAATCTAATCTGCTTACATCTCCAACTACATGATTGGAGGGTACGTTTAGCGTGAGACTTTGTTTAAAATTACGATCTTGTAACTTCTACCTTCCTTTCAATAATCCTTACCATTTCTGCAGAATCTTAAAAATTTTCCCGAATGAATGAAAACGCTTGCGTTCCAGGTATGTGTATGGACAAGGAAGAAGGCATGTCGAGCAATGCATCAATTTGTTTATTTTCCTGAGCTTTCGAACTCTTACAGGAGTCCATCTTCAGAGATGCGAGGTAGCAACCGAAAGGAGGGTAATTATAGTGGCCATAGGCCAATCACCTGTCAGAAGTATTAATATTGTCAAGGGGTTAGAAACAGCAATTAAGAAGGATGGAAGGAGCAATTTAAGTGATGTACCCTAATTAGCTGTCAGCGAAGTCAGTGGTCGCTCGGAGTCATAAACAGCAATTAGTGTGGCGCCCTGTACCCACGGTAGTCCTGCCTCCTCTTCTGGTCGCTACCTTGTGGAGTCCCCTTCGCTTTAAACTCCTACGTTCGGTTTGGTATTGTTCTGTCCTCTGCCTACATAATGGCGTAAGACTTTGGGTCTAGTCTCCGACCCGCTAGTTTGTGTTCGTGTTGGCGGGTCTGCAATCTTTGGCCTATTTTTCCAACGTAATTACAGTCTTCATCGTTGCAAAGTATCTTGTAGACAACTGCAGAGGTTCCAGTAGGTGGCAGTCTGTGTTTAGGTTGCATCACACGGCGGCGTATTTTCACCTGCGGTCGATGGGCTACGCCTACGCCAGCAGATTGTAACAGCCGTGAGACTGCTTCGGAAACTCTTTTTATGTAGGGAATGGCCCTTCAGACTTCGGGTTGCTGTTGCACTGGCCGTTGTTTGTTCACTCGGCGCTTGCTTTGTTTAATGAATGAGCTCGAATATCCAGTAGTGTGTAAGAGTTCCCAAAGGTATTGGTGTTTAGCTCTTCTCTCGGCTGGTGTGCTGCAACGTGTTTCAACTCTCTGGCAAAGAGTATCAACGCAGCTACGTTGGTGGGACATGGGGTGATTGCTGTTGAAACGGAGTACTTGATTCGTGATGGCGGCTTTCCTGAATGCTGTAGTTTTCAGTCATCCAGTTGGACACCGGCGCACAAGGACATCGGGGAAGGGTATTTAGTTATTCCTGTCAGACTTCATCGTGCATTGAATATTTGGATCAACCGAGTTCAGTTACTCTTTGAGGTGCTCGATGTTAGATGTTTTGACAATGAGGAAAGTTTCACCGACACAACGAGCCCAAAACGTTGGTTGATACTTCGTGAAGACCAACTGTTTAATCCGTTGGAGTACTACTCCAGCAATCAGGCCTGACAGGGGGAGCCCATGGGAGTGCCTTTAATTTGTTCATACATTTGTCCACCAAATGTGAAGTAGGTTTTGAGGCAATTTCGTAGAAGTTCGAGCAAATGTTCAGTCTTTAGGGATTTGCCGCTTTCGGGATAGCGTTCAGTTAGAATTTGTCTCACAACATCAATCGCTAGTTGCTGTACGATGGAGGTGAAAAGTGAGACAACATCGAAGGATACCATGGATTCATCTGGTTCTAATTTCAGATGATTTATTCGTTCAAGGAACTGTTTGGCAGAAGCTATGGTTGTTTTCGAGCCTACTGCCAGGAACTTGAGATGAGTGAACATCCATTTTTCTAAACCGTACGTAGAAGTTTCACGGGGGGAGACGATGGGCCTAAGCGGCATGTTTGCTTTGTGCACTTTCGGCAGGCCGTAAAATCGTGCTAGGGCTGTGTCGGTTGGTTTCATGGAAAACCAATTGCTGGGCGTGATTGCACCGTTTGCTTTGAGATTATCAGACTTTTGTTAATTTGGGTGAGCAAATGTTTCATTTACCTGGCAGGACATATCTTGTACGAGTTTTCGTCGGCAAGTAGGCTCTGGGCTTTCGCTTGGTAATCAGATTTGTTGAGCACCACGGTGGAACGACCTTTTTTCAGTCGACAGAATGATTATGTCTTCCTCGGCTTTTAGACTTTTTACTGCCCTCTGTTCTTCTTGACCAAAAGTTTCACGCTTTTTGTGTTGCATAAGCAGCGATGATGTTTTGTGCCGGATTATCTTTTTTATCCTCCGAGGCTTTTGTTGGTTGGAGGGCTGACGCAAAGGCGGCAATAAACTCAGCGGATGAAGCGTCTGCTGCGTTGAAAGTTGCTCCACGTTCTAGGACTGCAAGTTGCGTGGTGGTAAGGGATTTGGATGAAAGGTTGTGGACGAAGCCTGGGCTTTTCTTGTCTGCTGGTTTCAACCTATTCAGTTTTTGCTCCAAAATCTCCATTTTTTGGCCGGCCTCTGACGTGTTAAAGCTGAAATCTTCTTTCCCAGATTCTCGGCGATAAAAGCTCGGAAGATCTTGAAACACTCTCTTCTGTCCTCCTCAATCTTAGCCTTGAATTTCTGTAGTCGTCGGTAGCGGTCGTCGATAAGAACTCTTGTCATCTGTTTGACAAATAATCTCGCGACCTATCTGCCCATAGCCTCCTTTTGGTTGCTACTTCTCATATCTGAAGATGGACTCCTGTAAGAGTTCAAAAGCTCAGGACAATAAACTAATTGATCCGGTGCTCGATACGTCTTCTTCCTTGTCCATGCTTAAAAATGTTCCCCTTTTTCCAAAAAAACCTACACAACACAAGAAAAGGTGGCGTTTCACTCTGTCTATATTTTACACAAAACAATAGTGCAAAAAGAGAGTTTGAAATCTACAGTTCTCTGAAGATGCCCACGGGGCTGGATTTTGGTCGGGATTTCAGCTCTTTTAGATGACCAGTCCAATATCTGTTGCTCGAGCGGGATAGGGATTCTCCATTAGCCCTGACTGGCATCACCAGTGGAGGCAGGCAAAAGGAAGCGCTTCGCTTTCGTCCAATCCAGCGTTTGAGGTCCCAAATGTTGTCTGGAAAGGGAGAAAAACCTAAAAATCCCTAATTATGCACAGGAAAAAACGGCAGAACATTTAGACAAAAGCCACCCTGACCCTGATAACTTCGCACTTTGTTTGGCAGATTTGCTTGATTTGAATTAACCCAATTGTGAAAAAAATAGAGGCCTTCGGCGGGATTTGAACCCGCGTTGGGCGGGTAATATCGACCTAAGTGTGATTAAATTCATGGCGCGAGGTGTGGCATTTGCAGCTTAGGGGTTAGAGCTTTGGCTTCCGGTAAAGTCCTTCTCTAATACGTGGCTTCAAATCCCGCCGTACGCATCGAGTTTTTTCACAATTGGGTCAACTCAAATTAAG